GAGCCATATCTCAGCGTCCCTAACCATCGGCAATCCTCATCCGTTGGGTCCCAGTATGGAAGGTGAGCTGCACCAACCGAGGCCAATGCTGAGGCTAACTTCTTCATGCCACTATGCCAGGTCATGGTATGACAGCCGCGACGGTTCTTCCAGCCTTGTCTAGCACGTGTAAAGATGCAGACAATGGACAGGCATACGCAAAACATGACCTAGCAATCGGACGCGGTGTAAAGAGATTACTTCTGTTAGAGAATGACTAGCATTACCCAGTGCACGACGACGAATTACGACACTGCTCACACGATGCTCACACCAGATACGAGCACAGCTTCGAACGCATCGGTGGTCCAATACGGAAAGCAAAACTTCCAGTTGTTTAACAAGTTTCACTCTATCACCCTTAAATAGAGCTGGAGGAAGGCCATTTGAGCTCGGTTTAGGTCTCCTTACGGATCCCCGCGCCTGAAGGTGGGTCTGTTGAGACAGACCATGGGGTGCGTGCCGTAATAGCTGTGTCAGAAGGTGACGCTAGTGGACATTTAAACTGTGCCCCATAGTGCTTCACCAAGTGTGCAAGATGTAGCTGTTTTGTTGTGAATAAGTGAGCTGGAGGCTTCATAGACCGTTTCGCTCATACCATTAACTGTTCTATTGGCGACTCGAATGTGATGGAACAGCTTAAGGGAATTTCTCATGACGGTAGCACATTCCATCTCTGACGAAAAGTTGAGATCACCCGATTTTGCGGTCCGTGCGTAGGCTTACATTAAGTTCACGTCTCGTTACAAGTCGTGCTACGTTATGCTCGCTGCCTTTCGGAATTGACCGACGTGCGTCAAGAAGGCGCGGACTCAACGGAAATCCAAGATGTCACGGCACAACGTTTGGGGCTTATAGCGATATGGTCGATCTGTGTTCGTTGCTGACTATCGTCACTGACTAGAGCGATTTTTCCTCCATGAGGAAAGTAGTGGGTGGAAATTCGCGGATAGCGAAGATCTCATATTTCAATTTGTGTGCGTGGAACTGAATCAAATCATGTCGGTGATCGGAACATCAAAAGTCTTTTGGCGCCCTCTTTCCGCCAGATTAGTCAAAGCTGGCAGGGACTTTGTAGGTGAAGATAAGTCGATCTAAACTGGTCTTGAACAGCGAACGTACTCCATGAAGCCGCCGGGTATTGGTTACTGATTCAGTGGAAAATTCATTATCACGTTGAATCCAGATTAGTATGCTTCACTGGTTAGGGCATGTGTTGCGCATGCCCGTCTGTCGCCTAATGCCTACTATTTGTGGTTGCGGATCTAGGTTGTAGGAAGGCACGCGGAGGTCAACAAATGACGTAGAAACGAGACGACAATATTCACAAAACGATAAGGTAGAGTAGATGCCCACCTTCTTCCACTTTGTGGTCCAAGGGACTGCAATGGATCGGTTCCAGACACTAAAGGATATGACAAATAACCGACATCAAAGGAATCCTTGTTGTCACTTACTATCACATCGGAATGTGTATGCACGGTTAGATTGTGTACCCTGTATGTTGACCACAGAGGTTTGTTTCTTTATCCCTGCCTGAAAACAGGCGCAATCCATATCTACTTTACATTTTTTCACTTACCTTGTATGAATTGTGAGCTTCGCAACGATCAGCGAAGCTTCATTGTATCTCGATGTACGATGACCATGATGTCACCAGATAGGCATCCCGACGCATTCCATTTATCCTGGGGTACCACATTATTTGACAAAAATCCCTTCAACCTCTGAAATATTGGGCTGTACTATACGAAAAAATCAAAGCAAATAAGCTACTACTACTAGCTTCTCGCCGGAAAGTCTACGGCTAATTTTCAACTTGAAGTTTATAAATTGAGAACGGCAATTGCCCCTACGCAAACTAAAAGCAAAACAATAAAACAGAGAATGGTGACGAAGACAGCTAAACACAAAAATACCGTATTCACCTTACACCCGTTTCTTCTTTGGAGCCATCCGAAATCGAAGGTGTTTCACCAGTGGGCGCAATTGTAATGAGCGGAGTGACAGACGTGTCCAAGTGCGCCCGATTGAGCACCTTGAGAAATTCCGCCGTTTTTGCACGCATCCGCATATGCAAATAGGCCTTGGAGCATTTGATATGATAGTGCAAATAATTGCGCAATGTGTGAATTAGATTGATCGTTTTTTCACGATTAGAGCCAGGAGCCACGTGACGAGGATACAAAACTATGATACCATATAAGGATACGGAAGTGACATGAGAGTCAGAAAACAGTGTGGGGAGGTAGGCATCAGATAAAACTAAACAATGACAAAAACTTGAAAGAAAACCGTTTAGTGAACGAGCTTATTTTCGGTGACTCATCACCTGACTAATCAATCACGTTTTACGCAGCATCCTTCTGTATGGAAAAAGGAAGCATGACAAATGAATAGTTAAAGTGGGATATTTTTGTTATTTGTCTGAGTTCCACAGACCGGATGTGGTTGATTTTCTTGTCAGGTTCTTTTTGGTCTGAGTGGCTTACGTGATTTTGGATGGGGATGTATCACGGGCGGAGGCGGAGCGGTTTCACAAACTGTTTTTAGGCGCACGAAGGGGCTACGTAAGCGAATTTTATACTCCCGGCGGTGCCTAGGATGCGATTTTTAATCGGCTTAGACTACGGCAGAATTATAGATGTGTTCTCGTGTAAATGACCTCCGCTTCACATCGTCTGTTTCGCTCTCAACGGGCATCATTACCGCACAACCGAGCATTCAGATCTGCATAACTGATTCGCCAAATTGTTTTCAATGTGCATTGCACGCATGTCAGATGTAGAAATATACGCGACCCATGAACCTACCAAAAGTCACGTAAGCCAAAGAATCGTTCACGGCAGCTCCGGTGCCCTGGAATTCAGCCGGTGGTACCCGATGGGAGTAGAGCACTTGTGGAGCACGATCCAAACGCCGCTGAGATTCAGTGAATTCCTGCGAACGAATGAAAGCGCGAAGGTGAGAACATATTAGCAAAGCCAGAGGGCATGAATGAAACATGCGACAAATTGAATGACATTCATGCATGCGGGTTCATGACAATGCAGAACAAAAGGTAGACAGGGAGCAGGAAAGGGACAACGGTAGCAGACTTCCAACATTAAGCATGCAGTGTTGCTACCATTGTCCAAACCGCAACGTACCGTGGATTTACGTAATCAAAGTGACCATGAAAGTCCAAGTCTTGATTTAGCTATTGCGAGAAAACGAAAACAGACTGTGTGCTCACAATATATGTTGGTCGAATTTAGCTATAAGAAACATTGAGGAAAAGAGAGGATCACATATATACATAAAGAAATAAACAATAACCTGTTATTATTTACTTACTGGTAAAACAGGATTGGGATCCATCTATTTCGCTAATCGAGGTTATCAAGCCTCCTGATTTCGGAAAGAAGATAAGCTCTTCAGTGTACAATTTTTTACTTTTTTTGTAGAGCTCTTAGTAGGTGCATTTTTAATTACTACAATGATATGTTGCGGGAAACAGCTGTTTCAAATTTTTAAATATATCAATACTCGCATTTAGAACACAATTTCAGCATGTCACTGAAACCAACTTAAACCGCAAGACCACCATAATCACTCAGGTTGTCTGCACAAATTCCTGTATTTCTGGGTGGCACTCAAATACACTTTTATCCTGTTTCTTATATGTGATCCAAGTTCTGACCATCAGAAAAATTCATGAACACGCACACAGCATGATGCGGTAATTTTTTCTTAACCGCTTTCGAATCACCACACTCACTATTGTTTTGACCCGCAACATGCTTGTAACCTCCACCTTCCACTTGTAACACCATGTGTGGTAGACTAGCCAATTTAAGGTTCCAAGCTGTGGTGAAATACCAACAGAGCAATGACAGATAAGGATAATACACTTGATGAAATGTGAATCCTGTGACTAAACCAGCAGTAATGGCTTTGGTGCGAGGTGCACTGCGCAACTGTGATGCACAGAAAGAAGCTGCACGAAAAACTGTGATGGGCGACAGGAGTAACGGAAGGGGACACGGTTTGTATGGCCTAAATTACTTTGACTTAAAATGGTTACATGTACAGTGCGGCACCATCCGATTTTTTTTCTACAAGAATAGTCGCTCCGCGCCCAAATTGGTATAATCCAAGCAGGACAAAGAGAATTCAGAAAATAGAACTTAAATAAATCAATAAAATCTTTTACTTTCATTTTTATTTACTGCGTATACAAATGTACAGTCGACTTTTAGGAAGGGTCATAAAGAAAATGGCAAAGTTAGGTTGCGGTGACGGGATTCTAACCGAGGATCCCTAAATAGCTATTTCGATGGCCATAACCACTTGACCACCAACTTTGCTCAGTTCTGATTGCAACCCACTTTGTGACCTTTGAATCTAATATGCGACAGAAGCGATAGTCATTATGAGGAAACCTGTCACGAGGCGATAGGGCTGACGGGTGTTTGATTCGCACAAAAGCCTACAGGCATTTCAACAGTTAGGAACTGAAAAGAACGATTTCAACCGAAAGAAATTAGGGAAAGACGTGTTATCTGTTCTACCTAATACTGTCACGGAAGCGACATCTACTTCAGAAGGAGTAGTTTCATGTTTCCAGACTAACCCAATTATCGAAGACTTTCTAATGACCTTCTTAGCAAACCAAATTCAATCCATTGCTATCAGAACACAGAACATGATGGAAATGTAACATCTAGCAAAGAAATCTGGGTGGAATAGTAAACTAGCTTAAATAGATTCGAGTCACTAAAAAATAAGGGAAATGTGGTATTATGCCTGTGGACAACAGCGTGAAATCTTTAACCGAGACGATTTGACCTCCGCGGATGACAAGAATTTTTACTGCTCCTCAGCCCACTCAATTCCTCGCGCTGCGACGACTAACATCGAAAGAGATTTTACTAGTCCATCTGAGCCGGTCGGCTGACCAAAATGGAAAGAGCAAACTGAGAAAGACAGGAACAATATCAAAATTGGGATATGGAATGCAAGTGAATGGATGTACGAGGGTGCCACTGTTTGCAACACTCAAATACACCACTACCTGTAACCCTTGATTAGATCAGTCACCAGATATTCAAACAGGAATTCCGATGCAGCCCATGCAACCGATAATCCTGATCAGGGCTTAAATATCATTAGTGCAAGGATTTATTCTGCTAACCTTTGAATTTCACCCATCCATTACCTGCATTGACAAACATCGCGCGCTGAGGAAGCCTATCTGGTGACAAGCGTCCCAGACGACGTAATCCATGCAGGTCAAACACTTGTTTTGATGCACGACCTAGAACTCTATTCTTAACCCCAACATTGTTGGTCCCCTTCGTGTCCTTTACGTACAGGTATTTTTGCTAATTTGTTTTGTATATTCGTTTCGCAACTTAAAGTTCCGTCTTCTGAGATTACCGTTTTTGGCTGATGAACCTTAAAACAAGGACGCTGACTCCCGGTTTAGTTCAGTTCGGTTCTTATAACTATTAACCATGCACTTTCGTGCACAGGTTTTGGTTGCCCATTTGGATAAAACAGCAGAATGATGATTAGAATGTTGAGAGCAGATTTAAGCGGATGGTAGCACATTTTCATAGACTGAAGTTACAAGAATGATGAGTAAATGCATGAGCGCCACTGTTTACGACACCCAGCCATATCGCTGTGTCTCTAACCACCGGTGACCATGATCTCTGGATCCCCAGACAGGGAGCCTAACAGGACCTATGTGACCCAGTCCCCTGGTCAGGATTTTCATACCCTCTTGCCAGATTTTAGATCGACCGCCCTTCATTTTTTTCCAACCTCAACCCGCCTTACCAAACATCGTTAGTCGTGGTAACCTATCTGGTGACATGCGTAACATATGCCCCAACCAACGTAATCTATGGAGGTCGACCACTTGCTCCGGTGGGCGACCGCATTTGCCTAAAACTCTGCGCCTAACCTCAGCATTGCTCATCCGGCTACCCCATCAGATTCGTGTAATGCTGAGTAGACAGTGGTGTTCAAACACCGACAGTCTATCTTTACCCTGTTTTCTTAATGGCCAAGTTTCTGCATCGTATAGCAGAACTGTCTCAAGTTGGCAAATGCCAACCGAGCCTTCTGTATGCGAGCTGACACTTCATCCGTGATGCATCCAACGGGTGAACTGTGGCTGCCCAGATAACAAAACTTATCTACCTGGTCTATTACTTCCCCAGTTAGAGTGAGGCTGGGTATTGGATCAACCCATTCTTGTAGTATCATTTTACACTTTGAAGGTGCAAAACGCATACGGGACATGGCTACAGTAGCACTTAAACTATTCAGAAAAGCTTGTAATTTATCTGGATCTTCACTTAGCGGCACAATATCGTCTGCATACTCTAGATCAGACATCTCGCCACCTGAGAGGAAACCGAAGCCACAATCCTCGCACGAGGATAGAGCTGTTTCAAGAATTAAATCTATAACAAAGTTAAACAGAAATAGAGAGCACAACCCCGTTGAGCACCACTTTCCGTGGTGAACTCGGGCGAAAAAGTGCCGTAAGCTCGGACTCGGATTCGGCTATTAGTAGAAAGCGATTGTAATATTGGAATTAACTTCTCGAGCACTCCCTTCATGAAAAGGCAGTGCCAGAGGTTAGAGCGGTCGACTGAGTCGAAAGCTGCTTTCAGGTCGAGGAAGATGGAAATGGTGGGTCTGTGTTCTAGGATTTTACGGAAAGTAAAGATGTGATCCATAAAACCTCGACCAAGTCTAAAACCAGCCTGGTTCTCATGTGTGCACTCTTCACGAGCGGCAGACAATCGACGGAGTATGACCCCGGCGAGAAGCTTGGAAACAATGTTGAATAAACTGATCCCTCTGTGGCTTTCACAAGAGGACCTGTCACCCTTCTTGTACATCGGTTTGATCACCGATTCACACAATTCAGACGAAACCTGTTCTTTTTCCCACACTGAACCCAGGAGTTTTATTAACTCCAAAACCAAGGCTATAACTTAATCCTTAAAAACCGATGGGGACAGCCCGTCGGGGCCGGAAGCCTTATACTTATTGAGATAGCTTATTTCTCGGGTAACCTCTATTTCAGATAGAGGACTGATGTCAACTGGCAGTATTTGCACAGTTGAATCGGGTGAAGGGAGGTCTTGAGCTAACGAGGGCCAGCTGAACTGAGCCTTAAAATGTTCTGTCCATCGATCTAGACGGCGTTGCTGAATATAGATCAGTGTACCGTCGAACTCCTTAATTACCTCACATACGGCTGCTTCCCTTGGACCTGTACTCCTAAGTAATTGGGAAAAGATTGCGACTAGTACCAATAGTCGCAGCTTTTTCCATCTCTGTACACTTTCCTACCCACCACTTCTCGCGGTCATTCCTCCGACTCTTGATCAGTTGGCGTTTAAGGGATTTGCGCGCTTTGTCGTAGTTTGAACACGAAAGAATGGCTTTGCGAGCGTCCAGCAGGGCAACCGAAGTCGGGGAGATCCATCGTTTTCTATTTGATTGAGTCAGAATTTGTTGTTGTTTCGATTGACATTTCGATCGCTTCCTTGACTGCTGTCCAGTTCTCACTGAGTTCTCCGGCTGATGTTTGTGCTGAGAGACGATCTGATAGCTCCACTTCGAAGGCCGATTTGCAACCATTGCTGACAGTATCCTGGGCATCCGCTTTTGGTGGCTTTTCTGCGCTTGTTTACTACGCGTAGAGAGAATCTCGATCGTAGCAGAGCATGGTCCGTGTCCACGGTTTTTGACCAGTAGGAGCGGCAGTATTCAATGGATCCTCGCCAGCGGTGGTTGATGGCAATGTGGTCGATTTGAGTCCAGCGCTGTGAAGCGGTTGGCGGTCTCCATGTAAGACGGTGGCGTTTTTTGTGCGAGAAGTTCGTGCTTGACAGAAGCAGTCCGTGGTCCGTACAAAGTTGGAGTAGGCGTTCTCCG